TGGGGTTCAGTCCCTGAGCCCATTATGTGCCTCTGTAACCCTTTCCACTACCGCCCACAGGATGGGTATGGGGTGCATAATAAATGAACTAAACTAAACCATAAAGGAGGCAATCCGGCGGACATAAACAATTATAGACCAATATCAAATCTACCCATTCTATCAAACACATTTGAAACAATTATCTACAAACAGCTCTATTCCTACCTCGTAAAATTCAACATACTCAGCCCCTGCCAGTTTGGCTTCCGGTCCCAAAAAAGCACCAATGATGCAATCATTAGTCTCCTTGACGTAATCTACTCAGCCCTTGACAAAAATGAGTTTCCGATTGGACTCTTCATTGACCTAAGAAAGCTTTTGGTACTGTTAATCACAACTACCTCTTACTTAAACTCCAGCATTATGGAATCCGAGGTCTTGCCCTTGACTACATCCGATCCTATCTTAGTGACAGACACCAATGTGTAACCATTAATGATACAACCTCTTCCACTCTACCAATAACCGTTGGAGTACCGCAAGGTAGCATCTTAGGACCTCTTCTATTTCTTATATATATCAATGATCTGCCTAATGTCTCTAATATTCTTAAACCTATATTGTTTGCTGATGATACTACCCTTATCTATTCAGACCCCAACCCACATACACTAAATGATGTTGTGAATAATGAATTAAAAAAAGTCCACTTATGGATGTCAACTAACAAACTAACATTAAACATAGAAAAGACCTACTACATCTTATTTGGAAGCAAATCATCAAATGGAATTCAGCTACAGATAGACAACATTAGTATCAGTAATAAAAATGATGGCAAGTTTCTTGGCCTATTCCTAGATAAGAGACTCAAGTTCAGCACCCACATTCAACACATAACTAAGAAAGTCTCTAAAACAGTTGGTATACTCTCTAAAATAAGATATTATGTTCCTAACTCTGCTCTCCTCTCACTATATTATGCACTAATCTACTCCTATCTTAATTATGGTATCTGTGCATGGGGGTCTACCACTGCAAACCACCTTAAGCCCATCATCACACAGCAAAAATCTGCTATCAGAATAATAACAAACTCTGCTTTCGGACAACACTCAGCTCCCTTGTTTAAATCCCTAAATTTGCTAAATGTTAACTCCCTCCACACATTCTCTTGTGTCAACTACATTTACAAAACCCTGTTCTTAAATGCAAACCATGCTCTGAAACTCTCCCTGGACAGATGTAATAGAACCCATTATCACCACACCAGAAATATATGTCTCTTTGATATCCCTAGGGTCAAACTTAATCTGTGTAAACACTCTATGCAAATTAAGGGACCTAGTCTATGGAACTCACTCCCTAGTGAATTGAAAAGCTGTCAAACTTTTGCCTCATTTAAAAACAATACTAAAAAGTACCTAATTTCATCTTCGTAGTTTCCTACACTAAGCTTTAAATTTGCTCTGTATCTAGTGTTACCCAATCTCCCAATCTTTATGTACTTAACCCAAACAACTTTATCATCGTGTTCATTGCTGTCTTCTTTTATGTGCTAGCCATATGTTGTAATATGCCTACTAATTTTTGTTAAACTACCATTCAAGCTGTCATTGCAATCAATCTGAGCTACCTATGTGCTTTAATATACCTACAATTTTTCTCTTATCTTTTATTTTTTTTCTTGCTATGTAACTGTTAACATTTTTATAAATTTTGCAAGTATTTACCTACTAAAAATTTTCTTAGATTAAGGACCTGCCCGAAACATTGCGCATACTAGTGGCTTTACAAGATTGTAATTACTATCCTCTGTATCCTCACAATCCCAATGTACCTTCTGCATATATAAATAAATAAATCTTATCTACAAATCCAACATTATGTTTGTAAATCAACTATGTATGTACTTTCCTGAATAAAATTGACTTTACTTACTTTATGAGCATGTTACAGTTATGTCTTAAAGAATTGAGAGCATTTAAGGATGATAGTCACTTACAACTAATGTATCAAGTTTGGAGACTTGTACACATTTCAGGGCAAGGAGCAAGGCAAGTAGTTCGGTCTGAAGGGTAGAGGCCCAGTTGTTTATATGGACTCCCAACTCAAAATATAAGCCATCACCCATTGTCAGGACAACTGCACTTAGTTGTCAGTGGTAGTCAGCATATTTCTTGAAGATATTTTCCCTCTGTGGTGCAGTACTAGCTCTATAGTTTACTAGCACGAGTATTGGTTTAGAAGGCAGTAACAGAGCTGCTGCTCACACATTTTACCGCTAATAAAATTGGCTTAATTGTAGCCCTTGTCTGCATCAAATGTTGTCCAGAGTTCCACTTTTGGACACACCTTCCCTCCATGACTGGATAACATTAGCATTTTCTTGTGCTGACATTCCAACCCGGGACATTTTCATGTTTCTTTTACGTTTTCCCAAATATTTCACCATGATGTTCACAATATTTAGGTATAATTGTATAACGTTGGATCAGCGCTTACAGTATGTGGTCAGGCTGTCACCTGACTAAAGATTCAAAAGCAATAGACTCATATAAATGTTAAAATCCTATTACAATGTATATTTTCTTTCTCCTTGTCGTTAAAGTCCCACTTTACTTTAAGATAAAGAGCGAGTCTCGTAGTATTTGTGGTAATTCAACATTTAGTTACAACTTGTTGGAAGCAGTCAGAGAACACTCATGAGCAATATAACATTCATTGAATACATTAAGTGAATAAGGAGACAGAATAACATGGACCAACAATTACTGCCAGAAAGCCCATAGTTTCATGGGTATCAGTGTCCTGGGATAGCTTAGCAACATTAGCTTTAGTCAAATCCTTATCCCGACTTATGATCATGAAAATCTTCTCCTTCAGCTTGCAATTACCTAAGTGTAGTTACAGGATGAGAACTACACTCGTATTGTCCCGTCTTCCCGGCACTCTGTCATATAAAGCCTTGAAACTACTGATGGTTTTGACCTCCAACACCTTCTTAGTTAACTCTTTGCTAATATGGCTATCCTTTTCAGTTTTGCATAGTCTCTTATGGATTACTTCACCCATTATGAGGGTGAAGTCATTCCATATGAGTTTGTAGACTTTCAATCGCAGCAGCACCTTGATTTGTCTTAAAAGCTAACAAGGGAAATGTTAAACAATTATAATCTGCATATTATACAAAGAGTCGGTAATTATCAAGCGTGAGCACCAAGCCTGAAAGGCTATATAGCACTGTCACAATATTGAAAGGTTCCTACATATTATTCAAGATGCCAATCTAAAATCAAGAATAACAGCAGCAGATATGGGCTAATTAGTGAAGAGAAACTCAACTGTGGTGTGTTGATACCTATACATTATCAATCTTTCCTATTGCTATAATTTTCCATATTTAAGAAGAAATAAGAACATTTATGGCCTTAATGTGTCATCATTATTAAACTCTTAAACCATTTGTATTGTAAAGACTGATATGTAATTGTTACTCATCCACTGCTTTATGTTCAAAGCTAACGTAGTTTAGCGAGGCTGCTTCCTTTATGACATGTCAGAGTCATTCCAGTACATCCACCTTGTAGCATGCTAACATTGAGGTCCTCGGGATAGTAGAGGCTTATCAGGATCAGCATCCTGTGCCTACACAAATACAAATCAATTCCAAGAATTCAGGAATGCTCGAATCATATGATCAGGATTGAAATCCTGATATCCTGAATTCCTATACTCAACAAATCCTTAATTTATTGTGTACAAATGGCACTCACACATGAAGCACAATCAGTCTCAAGTAGGATTGGGGACTGGTACATGAGGGCAAGGAACCGAGATATGAGGATCAGGAATCCGAATCACTTCGACAATCAGGGATCAAATGATGTCCGTGTAAAAAGCAAGGTTTCCAAGTGTATGGGGTGGGAGTAAAGAGGTTCACATTCACTTCTCTGCAAACCCCTTCTCACAGGTTAAGAAAGCCTCAGGTGTTATCACATAAATAATTACATTATGATCACTCCTTTTATGAGGCTTTGGGTAGTTTCTTATAATTTATTTTACTGTGATCCCATATGCTATTAAATATTGTTTCTAGCACTTCAGTTGTGCAGTTTGGTAACAAGGACCTAAGCAATATGTACTGTATATTATTAATACTTTGCTGGATACACTAAATTAACTTTATACATTATTCCCTTATACATGTATTATCATTTATTTGCAATGGATGTGTTATTTGTGGCACCATTTATATACAATTGCATACTGTATATTGTATTTATTATTCCATGCTTATCTCCTGTATATCCTCTCTTGTGAGTTACATTAAATGTGGGCGGGATTATTTATGTGTTGCATTCACAATTATAAACATTAGTTTATGTCAAAGATTTACAGTATAATTAAATTCTTCTATTATTGCTCTCAGTAAGTAGAGGTAAAAATCGAGTTTATTGATTGGACCACTTCCAACAGATTTTTACCTACCAACCTAGCCTTCTTGGGCGAGAGTGGACCACATCCTCGACAACATGTGGAGTACCGAGTTTCCAGATTTCTGACCCAAATGGCAGAGGCGCCTTCAAACTACATGAAGGAAAACTAATGATCGGCTATACAGTACAAAACACTGTCAAAATGAGAAGTGAGTTAAGAGTTGGGGAGTTAAGGAAACTAACATGTTAACTTGGGTAAAAACATATTTACCAAGCTTAAGATTGTACCTTCTGATCTAGAGAGCAGTAGCTGAATAACAAAATTTTATGGCAATTAAAATCCTCTATACAAAGGAAGTTTTAGTGGTAATTTATAATTATAGTATAAACACTGTCTACCTAAGATTTGACTATCCAGGTAATTTGAGTTCATTGAGTAACTGGGATTAAAAATCTCTATACCTGTAGGAACATCAGGTATTGAAAATACTTTCACATTAATATTTTAACATAAAATATGAAAAAGACATGCAAGACTGGGGACCGTGGCATCATGTTGTAGATATGAAAGGGCAGTTATTTTTGGTTTAATTCATTTATTATACAACATTTTTTATTTTGTGGAAAAGTCAGCTGTTTCATATTCATATTTCCAATACAGGTATTACATACCTCTAAGTGATCTGTGCTTTAATATGTTGCACTGAGGCTGTGGAGTGTAATATTAAATGTTGAGCACATCACAAGCACATCGGGTACCCGCAGTTTACCTAGAATTGGTTCCGGAAGTTTTTCTTCTCCCCAAGCCCAGCCTGGGTCTTTGAACATTAAGAATATGTTGTAATGTCAGTAATATATGAGCTGCCAGTTTTACTGACTCACAGGGTTCTCATCCTTATACAAAGAAGCTATACCACTGCGACCCACAGCTACAGAATCAATAGCACCACAAGAGGGATGAGCTGGGTCAAGACCCTGCCATGTTCGACCCTTTAGGACCTGTCCTCCACCACCTACATGTACGGCTGCAATTGTGTGTCCATCTTGCAGCACAACACCACCTGTACTGCTGTCTAATACTACATCTGTAGTGTCTCTGAAAATAAAAAAAAGTCGCTATTACCAGTGTTGTTATGCTATGCAAAATACTGTACCACACATTAAGTAAAAAATTTCCATGCTGAATAGCACAACACAAATATGTAACTTAACTATATAATTTATTACATATCCTTTAATCATTCATATATATATAAGCTTATTTCTCACGTATCTTATCTTGAGGTTATCTTGAGATGATTTCGGGGCTTAGTGTCCCAGCGGCCTGGTCTTCGACCAGGCCTCCATCCCCAGGAAACTGCTCGTGACAGCTGACTAATTCCCAGGTACCTATTTACTGCTAGGTAACAGGGGCATCAGGGTGAGAAACTCTGACCCGGGATCGAACCCAGGACAACAGGATCACGCGTCCAGTGTTCTGTCCGTTCAGCCACTGGCTCCTAGGTAGTATCAAGTATTACCCCAAAAATGAAAGTAAGTAAGTAATTATCAAAAGAAGGCACCAAACCGGGAAGGCTATGTAGCACCATCAAATACGCAAAATAATCAGAGGGCGCTAAATATCACCAAGGATGCCAATACGAGAACAAAAACGCATAAGGCGAACGATATCAAAAGTATCCGAGTCACCAAGAATTCTATCGAGGGACAGGTGACCGCGAGGGGCGGTCGGAAAGCAAGACACACGCTCGTCCTGGAAGTCAGGACATTCAAGAAGGACATGCACGACCGTAAGAGGGACAATGCAACTAGGACAATAAGGAGCAGGGCGGCGCTCCATCAAGTGACCATGGGTTAAGCGAGTATGGCCAATACGCAACCTCGCCAGAGCTGTTTCCCACCGCCGGTTACGGTGGAAGGAGGACGGCCACGAGGAAACACAACATTTAAGAGTACGTAGCTTGTTACCAGTAACAGACAACCAAGAAGCCTGCCAACGGGTAAGAACTGAGGAATGGATAACTGGGTAAAAGTCGGAATACGGAATGCCTTTACGAGAGATGGGACAAGAGCGGACAGCTTCCTTAGCGGCAGCATCCGCACGCTCATTTAAAGACACACCAATATGGCTGGGAACCCAACAAAACTCAACTGACTTAAATTTACTGTGAACGAGAAACAGCCAATGCTGGATCTCGACAACTACTGGATGAACCGGATTAAAGGACCCGAGAGCCATGAGGGCACTACGAGAGTCAACAACAACCACAAAGGAAGACTGACAACGAGAAAGCAGGAGACGAAGAGCATAGAGAATAGCATAAAGTTCTGCCGTAAAGATGCTAGTCTCCGGAGGCAAGCGACACATATAAGTGCGATCAGGAAAAACAACAGAGTAGCCAACACCGTCCGCTGACTTAGACCCATCGGTGAAGACAGAAACGGAGCGGGAGTGAGAAGAAAAGTGCTCGAGGAAAAGGCGTTTTAGAACCGTAGGAGGGGTAAAAGCTTTAGTGATACGGGTCAAGGAAGTACAAAACCGCGGAAGAGGGACCCTCCACGGGGGCAAAGAAGGAACAACACGAGGAGAAACATCAGAAATACGAACGGAGAGAGAATCCTGTAGGCGAGATAACCGGACAGAAAGAGGGAGGTGGTGAAGAGGAACAGGAACCGCAGGAGGGGTAAAAGTTAAAGCACGACAGAGGCGAGAGGAAGGATGTTGCAAGGACCGCGCAAGATAGCGAAGACAGTAGCGATCACGGCGGGCCTGGAGAGACAGGAAGCCAGTGTCAACATACAAGCTAAGGATGGGAGTCGAACGAAAGGCACCAGAACTGAGGCGCAACCCAGTATGGTGCAAAGCATCAAGACGGCGAAGAGTAGAAGGAGAAGCAGACGAGTAAGCAGGGCAACCATAATCGAGCTTAGACAGGACGAGAGAGGAATGTAAAGCAAGGAGAGTGCGCCTATCTGCCCCCCAAGAAGTATGGGACAAGACCCGAAGGAGAGTACGGGCCTTAGAGCACTCAACACGGAGGTAAGAGATATGGGGAGACCAAGACAAACGAGTGTCAAGGAATAACCCCAAAAGCTTCGCGGAATCTTTGTATTCAAGGGGATGACCATAAAGTGACAAAGAGGGACGAAGAACAACCCGTTTCCGCGTAAAAGTCATGGCACAAGTCTTAGAAGTAGAGAACTTGAAGCCATGACCTGTGGCCCAAGACGACACGGCATCAATTGCAAGTTGAAGCCGGCGTTGAAGGAGAGGCGAATCATCACCCTGACAACAAAGGGTAAGATCATCGACATAGAGAGCGGAGAAGACACCAGAAGGAAGAGAGGAAAGAAGACCATTGAGGGCAACAAGAAAAAGAGTAGTGCTCAGAACACTACCCTGGGGCACACCTTCGTATTGCTGAAAAGAGGGAGAGAGAGCGGTACCAAGGCGCACCCGAAAGGAACGATGAGAGAGGAAGCTGCGGAGAAAGAGAGGGAGATGACCACGAAGGCCAAAAGAATGAAGTTGAGATAGGATATGATAACGCCAAGTGGTGTCGTAAGCCTTTTCTAGGTCAAAAAGGACGGCAACAACGGAGGTCTTCGCAGCAAAAGCAGTACGAATATAGACCTCCAAGTTCACCAGGACATCTGTCGTGCTGCGGCACTTGCGGAAACCAAATTGAGAAGGGGAGAGGAGGTGATGGTGTTCCAGGAACCACATCAGACGAACGTTAACCATACGTTCAAAGAGTTTGCAGACACAACTTGTGAGAGCAATAGGGCGAAAGTCCTTAGGGGAAGTACCCAGAGACCCCGGTTTGCGAACAGGGAGGACAACGGCATCGAGCCAGTCCTCAGGGACTGACGACGACTCCCAGATCCGATTATACAGACTCAGTAAATACTGAGACGTGCTCGGAGGGAGATGGCGAAGCATCTCATAATGAATACCATCGGAGCCCGCCGCCGTAGAACCGCAGAGGGCCAGGGCAGAACGAAGTTCAGAGAGAGAGAAGGGATCATTATAGGGAAGCTGAAGATGAGTGCAGAAATCTAAAGGACGAGACTCAAGGACAGGTTTACGAAGAAGGAAAGATTGGGGAAGATGAAGACCAGAGCTAACAGAAGAAAAATGGGAACCCAGTTCGGAAGCGACCTGCAACGGGTCCGCCACAAGAGTATCATGGAGGTGAAGGACCGGTGAAACATCGGGAACGAACTTACCCGCTATCTTGCGGATACGCTTCCAGATCTGGGCCAGAGGGGTCTCGGACGTAATTGTTGAGACATAAGATGCCCAACATTCACGTTTAGCCGTACGGATGGCCCTACGGGCCACCGCACTTGCTTTCCGAAAGAAAAGAATCGGTCGTCTGCCTACGGCGGTGCCTCTTCCAGGCTGCACGCTTACAGCGGACAGCCCGAGCACAGTCCGCATTCCACCAGGGAACGCACTTCCGTGGACGCCGAGAGGAAGAGCGAGGAATAGAGCGGAGGGCAGCGTTGAAGACAGTGTCATGAAAAAGGAGGAGAGCGCGAGAGAGAGGCAGAAGGGAGAGGTCAGGGAGAGCAGCACTGAGGGTAAATAGGGTCCAGTCTGCCTTAGCAAACTGCCACCTAGGGAAAGAGAGGGAAGGGCGAAAAGAGAAAAAGGAAACAAGGATGGGGAAATGATCACTTCCATGGAGGTCATCAAGAACCTGCCACGTGAAATCTAAGTAAAGAGAAGAAGAGCAGAGAGAAAGATCTAGACAAGAAAGGGTGCGAGTCCGAGAGTCCAAATGAGTGGGCTCACCAGAATTCAGAAGAGACAGGGAAGAAGAGAGGAGAAACGGCTCAAGGAGGCGACCCCGGGTATTCGTCAGAACGTCACCCCAAAGAGAATGACGACAATTGAAGTCACCCAGCAGGAGCACAGGCTCCGGCAAGGAGTCCAGGAGGTGTTTCAAATCAGGAAGAGAGAGCGGGACACTCGGGGGGAGATAAATGGAACAAACTGTGTACCATTTCCCCACAAAGATACGAGCAGCAGAACAATGGAGAGGCGAAGGAAAAAGTAAAGGAACAAAGGGAACATCAGCCCGAATCAAAAGAGCAGAAGAATTAGAAGCCCCAGCAATGGCTGGGGGGGGGGGAGAGAAAGGAATAGCCACGAAAACGACCAGGACGAGCACCAAGCATTGGCTCCTGGAGACAGACACAAAGGGGCGAAAACCGCGAAATCAGAAGTTGGAGTTCGAGGAAATTGGCGTAATAACCTCGAACGTTCCATTGAAGAATGGACAACGACGAGAAGAGAAAGGACAAAAACAGAGAACAAGGAAGAAACAAAGGCGAAAGAGCAACAGAGCACGTTAAAGAATATCAGGGTCGGGATCAGGGTCAGCAAAGTCAGGGTTAGGGGGCATGGGTAAACTGAGCAAAGACGGAGGGAAGGAAACGGGAGAACAGAGCAGAGGTGGGCGGGCAGGGTCTGGAGGGGGAGGAGGAAGAGGAGGAGACAACGGAGAGGAGCCGTCAAGGACAGCAGCAGGAGGAGGGGGAGTAGAAAGAGGGGAGCGCACCCCAGCAAAAGCAGCAACCGAAAGGGAAGCAGGGGCCAAAGAAACCTGCATAGCAGGAACAGGGGGCGCAAGCACCGAAACGGGAGGGGAAGGAGCAACAGAGCCAGAAGGAGGAGCTGAGGAAGAAAGCGAAGCCTTCTTACCCGCCGGGGAAGAGGAAGGAGAGGAGCCAGGCTTACGCTTCTGACTTAAAGAGACCGGTGTCCCAGCAACTACGTACCGGGCAACGGATTCCAGTGTCTCAACAGGAGAAGCCGAACGAGAGCACACACGATGGCCGTTAGGAGAGCGATGGACATCCGCCCGCACCGACAGGCGGTGGGGAGAGCCAATAGATGGAGGAAGAGGATGGGAAGGAGGATCGGAGGGGGACGAGGAAGAAGACACAGAAGACACGACAGACCGGGTAGAAGGAAGGGGAACCCCAGACAGAGGACCAGGAGGAGGATCCTTCGGGAGAGAACCCAAAGGAACAGAGGAGGGGGCAGTGGGCGCATCAGGGTCCAAGGCCCGGAAACGGTTGTGAGTCTGAGGAAGGCGGGAAGGACGAGGAGAGGAAGAGCGCAACACGCGAGCATAAGAGATATTAGCATAAGGCGGGAGCCGGCGAACCTGGCGCCTCGCCTCAGGAAAAGATAAACGCTCCCGGTGCTTCAGGTTGAGGACGGCTGCCTCAAGCTTGTAATGGACACACGCACGGGAGAAGGTAGGATGGGCCTCACCGCAGTTGAGGCAACGAGCCTGGGGAGAAGTGCACTCCGACTTAGAGTGACCTTCGCCACCACACAAAGGACAGAGAGAGACAGTCCCGGAGCAGCGGAGGGCACCATGCCCAAACCTCCAGCACTTGTTGCAGAGCCGAGGAGAAGGAATGTACTCCTGGACAGAGCACCTGGCACCAGCAAGAATGACAGAGGGTGGAAGGGTCCTACCATCAAAGGTAATCTTCACAACCCGGAGGGGTTGACGGCGACTACCACGAGGGGGACGAGTAAACGTGTCCACCTGGAGAATAGAATGGCCCTGGGCAGCGAGGATATGGCGAATATCGTCGTGGCAGTCGCGCAGGTCCCGAACACCGGTTGCAACATGGGGCGGGAGCAAAATAGTGCCAACACTGGGATTCAATTGAGCGTTCTTCGAGACCCGAACGGGGGTCTCGCCAAGGCAGGATAAGGCAGCCAAGCGGGAAGCAGCATCCTGAGAAGGAGCAGCAACGACACGTGTACCGAGACGAGTGGGGTTGAAAGTAATGGAGGCATCCACGGAATCAATGAGATGTCGATGAAGGGAGAAATCGTCAGGAGGCGCAGAATCAAGAGGGAGGAGATCAAAATATTTGGCCCACGAAGCGGGACCAAACAAGGCTTGATAGGTAGCAGAACTGGAAGGAATCGAGCGAGGGCGGCCGTGACGAGGACGGCGGTGAGAACCCCCAGAGAGAGAGGGGTTAAAAAGGCGCAGTAGTTACAACTAGAGAAGGAGCCGCGCCAGGGGACGATGTAGTCACCACTGGGGGCTTGGGGCTCGACCCAACCACAGAGGAGGGAGGGGAGCCAGGGGAAGGAGTCAGAGAGGCCAAAGGAGGAGCAAGGTCGGGGCCCAATGCAGCGGAGGCTACAGAGCCCGGTCTTCCAATACGGACCGACTCGGGGGCTTGGTCGCCCACCCCACGAGCCTGAAAAGGTAAGCCAGAAGCAGCCGAAACAGGGGTTATCATCTTGACGAAATTAAGAATTCACTCACGAATGTGCCCCCACACCCACCATGGAGCCACAATTAGAGGCAGGACACCCAACAAGAAGCTATCGCCGATCTTGTCGGGGCCTCCTAGGGGTGCGTCGTGAGTATACGCCCCACAAATGCCACCTTAAGAAACCGACAGTCCGTCGAGATCGGGTTCAGTGACGAAGTGGGGATTGACAATAAAAGGTTCCCCTCGCTCTCGACGTCGGGTACTGCAGTTCTACGGGTGCATGAGTATGCCTCCCCCAAAAATGAAAGTCTTGATTCATTATCTTAAGTTATACCCGAATGGCTGAGCGTAATTAGTGACTTTAAAATATATACACTTACCAGTACTGTACTTACTAATTAACCACTAAGTTAATTAACCATTAAGCTAATGAACTGCTAAGTTAATTAACCGCCAAGTTAATTTTCAGGCATGACTGGCCAAAATGCTGTGCGTGTTCGTGGCTTTACAAGAATGTAAAATCATCAATGCTATGTACTCTCTCAAACCCAATGTACCTTCTTTTATATAATTAAATAAATAAAATAAATAATTTAATCTTCTGTATATCTTATAAAATATTATAATAGCAATATTATTATTATTATTATTTATATTATGGTTCAAAAATAGGAAAAATATATTTTCTCTTTTATTCACCATATATTTATATACGAGTGAATAAAGTTAAGATAGAAATATCTAAATTTACTAATCATCAGATTCTTACCTGACACCCAGAGCCTGAGTTTTGCAGGTTATCAAGGAAACATTAACCTCCTCTTCTCTTGGTTCACTGGCGACCTCAATGTACCGTGACCCTCCTGGAAGCAGTTGCCTGAAATCCGTCTCAAAGGCAAGACTCCACTCTTGCCTCGGCAGTAATGCCACTTCCAGCTCCCAAGGAGTAATAAGCTTCTTATAAAGTACTGGATCTGTGTTGCGTTCAATAATTGACGTCTCGGGGCATGCCACGTACACGAAGGTGTCTACCTCGGAGATATTGGCTAATTTGGGTTCGTTAGGTTTACCAACAACGAAGGTATAACTTCGCTTGCCTGCTGCTTTGATGATACTTTTCAGTTTTGATATTACATGTTGACAGTCAGCAACTCCTAGAGTACCTACTAATATTCCAATAATTTTAGCGTCTTTAGCTTTTTCTAAATTAGCACTGCGCTTCATGACTATATGAACACCAGAGGTGATTTCTACTGATCCATCATCCGAACTAACACAATAAAATGTATTTTCAGAAAATCTCATCAATAGACTGTTCACTGTTGGTCCACTGGGTCCAAGATAAATAAAATGATAATCTCTAATGTCCGACTCACTGGGCATATATGCAACACGGCCAAGGAATGTTAGTCTGCCGGACGAATCTTGAGTAACATTATTATTCTGACAGCTACTCTCACATTCACAAGGAGTTGATCTTGTAATGTTCCGACAACATTCTTCACTTGCAGGAGGACGAGGACTTAGTGTATTTTGACAGCAGCTATCAACATAACAGGAAGTTTCTGGAGGGCTTTTACCATGTACGAACTGACTAGTATTACAGCTGCAACCTTTATTCATCAGGAGGGTTGTAGTTACCAGGTGCGGGAAGATCTTCTGTAAGTTTTCAACGAGTTCACCTGTACAAATATGATGCCAAAATATGAGTGGTATATTAAGTAATTATAAAAAGACAGCACCAAGCTAAAGACTACAGGAATATATTAAACAATTTCAGGTTTACTTGTGCCATATAGACAGTTGCAGACCAACTGGCCACATAAACCCCATGAACAACTACCATGGCACAAGTGAAGGAACTCCTCTTTTTTATTTAATGGATCTAATCTGACAATATTCACACTTTAAATATTTTATAGTGATCTACTCAATAAATACTGTTTGATCCTTGTGATTTTTGAGGAGTATGACTATTTTTTCAGTTGTATGATTGCAAATGATGCAGAAAAAGGTTAAAAAATACAAATGGTATTAAAAAAATAAAGAACATTAGCAAGGCTCATAGCTCATGATGCTATAGCTCATAGCATCATTCTGGTAACAGATGGTATATCTTAAATACCATAAAATTTAAAAAAACATTAATTACTAGGCCAAATTATTAAATGTATTTATGCAACACTACCTAATACAGTGGGGTACTGTGTATCCAGAACTTTAAAGCTAATATATCTTTTAAATTCATCCTAGTTATTTGAGTTTCATGGAATTCTTGGATATCAGTTTCTCATTTGTGCTGTATTGTCTTGGTTTTATTTGACTCAGTTTACACAAACTGAGGCACTGACAGTAGCACTCCATTTCTTCTTCATGCACATAATACCTGACCAAAGTCTCACTCTACTATCACCACACCTCCCATCTTGACCCATTCTACTAGCCCTGCACTTAACATCTAGACCCACTTGTCAATTACAGACTAGACAAATATTGGAGGCCAAGTGCAATATTAGTCATCAGGAACACGGCGAGCTTCTACGGACATAATGCAATGAATGCAAGGGATGGGGTGCACTTACGTAAGGCAGGTGAAGGTAAAGTAATTATCAAAAGCAGGCACCAAGCCGGGAAGACTATGTAGCACCATCAGTGTCGCTGGATATTCAAAATGCATTAATGTCACTGATGATGCCAATGTGAGAACAAAAGCACATGAGGTGAGCAATATCAAATTTATCGGATGAACTAAGGATTCTACTGAGACAGAAATGACCATGAGGGACAATTGGGAAGCAAGACACACAAACATCCTGAAAATCAGGACATTCTAAATGTGCATGACTTAGAGAAGCAAGGCAATAAGGAGCAGAGCAGCATCCCATTAAGTGCCAGTGTGTTAAGTGCGCATGGCCAATATGTAACCTCGCCAGAGCCCTTTCCCCCCGATGATTACGGTGGCAACAGGAAAACCAAGGGGACACGCTACCCTAACTTAAGAGCATGCAGTTTGTTACCTGTATTGCAAAACTAATGACCCTGCCCACAGTCTCAGATCAATGAATAAATGACAGCACAAATCTGAGTAAGGAATGTCTTTTTGGGAAATAGGACAAGTGCAGACAGACTCCTTAGCAGCAGCATTCACATGGTCATTTAAGATAATGTCAATATGACTAGGAACACAGCAACACTCAACTGCCTGAAATCTGCTAGAGATAGAAATTGCCAATATTAAATTTCTACCACCACAAGATGCATAGAATTAAATGACTCCAGAGCCATGAGAATGCCGAGAGTCAAACACAATTATAAAGTATGCAATGCGTTATAAGCTGAAAGAAAATAAGGAGGTTGAAGCAGTTGAAAAACCAGACTTCAGGAGAGGACATTATGGTGACCTTAGAAATTTTTTTAGTGAGTATAATTGGACAGACTTGATGCTAGGCAAGGAAGTGAATGAGATGTATGTCAAGTTTTGTGAAATATATGATAAAGGCACAAAAAAAATTATACCAAAACAGAGATGCAGAACTAGGAAACAGGATTGGTTCAATAGAAATTGCGAGAGGGCTAGAGACCAAAAGACAAAAATGGAATCAATACAGAAAGAGGCCAAACCCCCAAACATACCAGCGATACAAAGATGCGAGAAACAACTACACGGCAGTGAGGAGAGAGGCAGAAAGAAATTTTGAAAAAGGGATTGCAGACAAATGTAAAACAGAACCAGGTCTATTCTATAAATTCATAAACAACAAATTGCAGGTAAAGGATAATATTCAGAGGTTGAACATGGGAAATAGATTCACGGAAGATGAAAAGGAAATGTGTGAAACACTAAACGAAAAGTTCCAAAGTGTGTTTGTACAAAATGAAATCTTTAGGGAACCAGATACAATAAGAATTTCAGAGAACAACATAGAGCACATAGAGGTGTCTAGAGACGAAGTGGAAAAAATGCTCAAGGAGCTAAGTAAGAACAAAGCAGTTGGTCCAGATGGAGTTTCACCATGGGTTCTGAGAGAATGTGCACCTGAGCTCAGCATTCCACTTCAACTGATTTTTCAGGCATCCCTGTGTACAGGAGCTGTAGCTGATGTGTGGAAAAAGGCTAACATAGTTCCAATCAACAAAAGCGGAAACAGGGAAGACCCCCTTAATTATAGACCTGTATCATTGACAAGTGTAATAGTCAAAATATTGGAAAAAATAATTAAAACTAAATGCGTAGAACACTTGGAGGAAAACGCTATAATATCAGACAGACAGTATGGTTTTCGATCTGGAAGATCCTGTGTAACGAACTTGCTCAGTTTTTATGATCGAGCCACAGAGATTTTACAGGAAAGAGATGGTTGGGTTGACTGCATCTATCTGGACCTAAAAAAGGCTTTCGACAGAGTTCCCCATAAGAGGTTGTTCTGGAAACTGGAACATATTGGAGGAGTGACAGGTAAGCTACTAACATGGATGAAAATTTTCCTAACTGACAGAAAAATGAGGGCCATAATCAGAGACAAGGTATCGGATTGGAGGAATGTCACGAGTGGAGTACCTCAGGGTTCAGTTCTTGCACCGGTAATGTTCATTGTCTACATAAACGATCTACCAGTGGGAATACACAATTACATGAACATGTTTGCTGATGATGCTAAGATAATAGGGAAGATAAGAAACTTAGATGATTGTCATGCCCTTCAAGAAGACCTGGACAAAATAAGTATATGGAGCAACACTTGGCAAATGGAATTTAATGTGAATAAATGCCATGTTATGGAATGTGGAATTGGAGAACATAGACCCCACACAACCTATAAATTACTGTATGTGAGAAATCTTTAAGGAATTCTGATAAAGAAAAGGATCTAGGGGTGGTTTTAGATAGAAAAATGTCACCTGAGGACCACATTAAGAACATTGTGCGAGGAGCCTATGCTACACTTTCTAACCTTAGAATTGCTTTTAAATACATGGATGGAGAAATACTAAAGAAATTGTTCACGACTTTTATTAGACCAAAGCTGGAATATGCAGCGGTTGTATGGTGCCCATATCTTAAGAAGCACATCAACAAACTGGAAAAGGTGCAACGACATGCCACTAAGTGGCTCCCAGAACTGAAGGACAAGAGCTACGAGGAGAGATTAGAGGCATTAAATATGCAAAAACTAGAAGATAGAAGAAAAAGAGGCAATATGATCACTACGTTCAAAATAGTACCAGGAATAGATAAAATTGATAGGGAAGAATTCCTGAGACTCGGAACTTCAAGAACAAGAGGTCATAGATTTAAACTAACGAAACAAAGAGGCCAAAACCGTCAGTAATTTCAAAGCATTATATGACAAAGAGTGCTGGGGAGATGGGACACCACGAGCGTAGCTCTCATCCTGTAACTACACTTAGGTAATTACAATGACAAAGGAGCACTGATGTTGGAAAAGCAGTTGATGAAGAGCATACAAAATTGCATATAGTTGAGCTGTGAAGATACTAGCCTCCGGAGGCAGGCGGTACAGAAAGGTTTGGTCAGGAAAGACTACAGAGTAACCAACACCATTAGCAGACTTAGACCCATCTGTGAATAGGGTAATACTGTAGTGTGATTGCAAAGAAAAATGTTAAAGGAAAAGGCATTTCATAATTGGAAGGGGTGGTAGAAGCAGGGGTTCAGTGCAAATTTTATAGGTGCCAGAGCTCTGGTGGGCTTGACAAAAGCCTGTCATTTCCTTTCCTGTTTCTATATGTCATACAATTAAGTATTTTGTGTTTGTATTCACTAATTATCATAAAATATAATTATCACACAAATAAAGAAAAAACACCAATCATGTATTTATCAATTTAAGAAGTTAAAATGTAAGGTCACGAAGCATGTAAGCCATACCCTAGAGTACGAACTCACGAAACCCGTCCTTACCATCTTATTTAGAGTATAGGTACGTAACTTTAAACTAGGGATGTAGAACCAATGGGCATTTACACACACTTCAAACACAAGAATGACCACGTGGGACCGGCACCATATTTTTATCTTGTCGGGACTCAAGAAACAACCAAAGTGCATGCATTACATTTATTTAACCACATTAAAAGGGTTAATACACACAAGGAAAAATCTCACTCACCGGATTAACGAATACAGTTCTCTTCACTTGGAAATAAATGGAGGTCAATAACCTCACACAGTGAGGAAAGTAGCTCACGAGCACACACCACACAACCTGTGTGTGTGGAGTCTCAGCCCTCTCTCTCATGTGGAGTGCAGGGATGCTCCTCTCAAGAAAATGCGCGGGATAATTTTTACACACAAAATCATACTCATTTACTAATACATACTCTCAAACACAAATGAAACAAAAATGAACACAAATAATACACAACCACAAAAGTAAGTAATTATCAAAAGAAGGCATCAAACCGGGAAGGCTATGTAGCACCATCAAATGTGCGGAATAATCAGAGGGTGCTAAATATCACCAAGGATGCCAATACCAGAACAGAAACACATAAGGCGAACGATATTAAAAGTATCAGATTCATCAAGAATAGTATCGAGGGACAAGCGACCGCGGGGGACGGTCGGAAAACAAGACACACGCTCATCCCGGAAGTCAGGACTTTCAACAAGAATATGCACGACTGTAAGAGGAAGAATGCAATATGGACAACAAGGAGC